TTTATCATTATTTTCATTTTCATTAGTATTTTCATCATTATTTTATTATTTTCGTCTCGTTAAAAAATAGTTAATAAATTTTATAAAAAAATTTTTTTTTAGATATAATGCGCGTACTTTATATATAATCGATGTATCACAATCAGTAGAACATGATCATCCTCACGCTCTAGAATTTTTGAGAAATGATTGTACAAACATTACTGAATATTTCAAAAAGAAAGGTGTGAGAATAATGAGTGTTAGAGAATTATTTGATTTTATCACTGATGTTAATATTGGTATGGAAGATGAAAAAGTTGAAGCTGAATTAGATAAGGTTCATATTTTTAATATTATTATTTGCATTTTTTATTATAATTTTATCAGATATTTTATTTTATTTTGCTTGTCTGTCTTTTTTTTTTTTAAAAAAAAAAGATTCAAGAACGTTTGGCTTCACAGCAATCAATGGAAACTTTAAATGAAGAACAATTACAAAAAGAAAAAGTTGATGAAGAAGTTTTTAAACAGTCTTATATTCCAAGAACATTGGGTGAAGTTATAGACGCTGAACGAGATACTATAAAGGTTGCACAAGGTGAAGGTGAAAATGTATGCATCGTCATTTAAGACATACTTTTTTAGCAAATCCTTTATAATTTTATATTTTTTAATTCTATATATTATATTATTTTTTAGTTAATTTACAGAAAACTCACAGGTCTTTCGATAGATGACAAGTCAGAAAGTGAAGATCACGGAGATCACGAAGATCACGGAGATGATGAAGATCATGAGGATGAAGAAGATCAAGAATTCCAATCTGAAAAGTATATATTAAAAGAACAAGATGAAAAGGAATTAGAAGATAATCAAATTGAGCAAGATTCAAATGATGAGAATGTAAACGATCTATTTGAAAAGCAATCACGGGGAAAGAGGAATGAAGACAAGGACGTTAAGAAGGTTCATATTTTTCGTACTGTTTCAATTTTATATCTGATTATATGATTACTATTTATATTCATATATAATATTTATATTCATTGTAGGAACGAAAAAAGTTAGCCAAAGAAGAAGCAAGGGAGAAAAGAAAGCATAAAATGCCTAAAGCTGAAAAGAAAAAGAAAATTAAAGCTACTTCGGGGAGGAAATCAAAATAGTCAAATTAATCACATGATATTAATTTATATTACAATCTATATCTATATTTATTATATTTATTATATTATATATTATATATCAAAAAAAAAAAATAAATAAAAATAAAAATAATAATAAAATATTACAAAATTATATTAATTTACTAATTTGGAAACTTTTTCATTGCCCAATATCTCAGACATCTCGTATACATCTTTCTTGATAAAACAAATCAATTCACATCCGTACAAATGGATGAAAAAATTGTTCCTATAGGTTCATGGGGCGGAA